GAAGTATCTCCCCCAATCCCAAAGCATATTGACAGCAAACACCAACTTCGACAGTTTCGGCTTGACATGCTCGCCAAACACCTTAAAGAAGGGGTCAGCAAACGGAGCCACCACCCAATTGAACTCTCGGATGTTCGTGCATGTAGCGTTAAACTTCGTCCAGTCGTCCAAATTCAGCATCCACATGTCTTGACAAGTCATGCGGTCCATCTCACACAGCGACTGCTTGTATCCATCCAAGTATTCCACGTTTGGACAGTACTTTACGACATGGTTAATAAATTCTCTGCTCGACTGGAATCTATCCTCCTCATTGATCGTCGGGACCTTCAACTGTCTCAGCCCCGTGCGATGACCCGTTGGTCTCCAATTCTCAAGTCCCTTATACACCGCACTCAAAAGTTCATCAACCTCTGCACCTGGATGCATACTGTGGTGCTCTTTGCCCGGCAGTACCAGTGCTTCCAGCTCTCTACAGTACTTCGTCGCAGCCTCCACCACCTTCTGCGTATGGGGACTGCTTAGTGGCATCTCAGACAAGTCGAGGCGCCGTAAACCGGGCATGGGAGCGATAAGCGCGTCCCATTCGAGCTCCATCGTGTCCAATTGGACGGGTAGGTCGTGCCCTCGGCAGAAATATTTCTCAAACATGTGCCCCTCTTCCAGTGAAAATTTTACATTCCCCATTGCAATTGTCAACTCCGTGACTTGTTGCCCTTGTGACAAGACGTGTCGTCTCATTTCCAGCAACTGTTGCCTACCCGTAGTCTCAAATTCGAGCGTCAGCGTTGATCGTTGGAATTGAAAAACTAGTTCACGGACTGCACAATTCCATGCCTTGGAAATCAAGGATAGATCTTGGAGGCCGCAGGAGGCGAATGCGAGGTTGGAACTATCCGAGAAAATCTCGTTCGTGTAGTAATCCGCGCCAAAGGCCAGATACTTGAGAACAGCGGCAGTGGAAGAGTTGGATGGTCTCCGTCGTAAGATGATGGTAAGTACAACTTTCGAATATTGCGAATATTTTCTTCCACAACTTTGCTACATTTCATTGTACATGTACAGTACAACAAAATGGTCCTGGTTTGGTCCAGTATCGATTATGCCGATGCTGTGCTAGTGGATGCTAGTAAGTACCATACTCGGAACTATCAGTTGAAATCTGCAATTTCGATTAAGAACACCACCTCTGCATCAGCGCTTCGACGTCGAATACAAAAGAGAACGCGGTAACAATCCACCACAGCACGAACGACACAAATATTGCCAGGCAATGCTTTTTCTCCACCCTTGAGATCAGCAAAGTGCCGTGGTTGCCACGTTAGCACGCAGCTTGAAGGAGCTGACAGTGAGAACTATCACTTATCAAGCCATCTGATTCTACCAAGTGTTTCTTGTTTTGATACTCTATTCCCACAGTTCGTCTGCGTTCCCATCGTAGTACCCATCGTCTTCATCAGAAAGGTCACCATTGTAGTAGTCATCAAAGTCTCCGTAGCCACCATATCCGTAATCGTCGAAATAGTCCGCTGGCAACTCATAGTCGATAGGGAGCGAGTCTGGATCAAGCAATTCAGGGTGTCGTAACTCCACAGGCAGTCTGTTCCGACCGTGATCAAAGCTGTAGGACCCACCACCACGATTCACGAAAGTAATGTTGCGGTCGCTCTCTTCGTCACCCCAACCGCACCAGATACTCGGTTCAGCACTCGAAGTGTACAGACCCAGCTCGATGATACTTCCAAACGTACTGCCTCGGCGTCCAGACGTCGTAATGCGAAGACGTAGATTCGGGTGCAACTTTTTCACGTTTTCCACAACGCGTTCCAGATCACGAAGGTAGTGTTGGCTCCAATCAGGCTCAACAATGTTAAAGTGGGAGTTCATCAGACGTAAAATAAACTTGCGGCTACCCCACCCAAGCTCCTCCGGACTTCTCGCTTCTAGCTGCTTTAACAGCTCCGGAATCGCGTTGTAGAACGCTTGTTTACAGTCACTGGGGTACCCACCGAGGCAGATTTGGAACGTTCGCAGACCCAAGAACTCGTCTGATAGTCCGTTTAGAAACTCGAACACGCCATTGCCTGTGCAGTTGATCGTACGTAGCTCCATCCTTGTCAAGTACTTCAGCTTTGCAAGAGCTTGAAGTCCTTGATCCGTAAACGTTCGGATGGGTCTGAGATAGCTATTGTGTCCCTCAGCAACCTCCCAGATCGAAAACTTCCTTAACAAGGGACAGTACTTCACCAACGTCTCGCAAAATTTGTCATCATAAATGTCAATATTGAGCACCTCATCTTCCGGGAAATCAGCAATGTCCTCGTCCTCATACGGATTATCATACTCCAAATCGTCATCATCAACAGGATGATACAGCTCGATCTCCAAGTCATCCAACGCCGGACAACCTTTCAGTGCACTGCTCACATCTGTCGCTTTCAAGCCATACCCTGGTCGTTCTGAGAAGCTGTGCCAGTCCGTGTGACTTCGAGGTGGTAGTCCAGCTGCCTCATCCACCGAATCAAAGTACTCTTCCCACTCCCACAACATATTCACAGCAAAAGTGAGCTTTTTCAAGTTCGGTTTAACATGCTCTCCGAACACTTTAAAGAAAGGGTCAGCAAAAGGTGCAACCACCCAATGGAACTCCCGCAACTGCGTGCACTTGGCATTAAATTCCTCCCACTGGTCCACAATGATCGGCCAGTCATCACGACAAGTCAACTTTTCCAGTTCATTCAGCGTCTTCTTGTAACCATCCAGATATTCCACTCTGGGACAAAACTTCACCACGTTGTCAAAAAGTTGTTTGCACGACTGGAACCGTTTTCTTTCATCAAATATCGGGACAGTCAATTGCCTCAAGCCTCTGTGAGTTCCACTGGAGTACCAGACCTCCAATGCAGCATACAGAGCCCCAAAAATCGAGTCAAAATCAACTCGACCTTGCAACATTTCGTCCACTGTGGCCAACGCCACCGACTCGACATTTTTGCAGTATTTTGCTGCGCTGTTGAGGATCAACTCCACTTGTCCACTAAACAATTGGACACCGGACAGATCCAGTCTCCGTAGTGCTGGAACGCGTGAAAATATCACGTCCCAGTCGATCTGGAAATCTTTGTTATTCCAAGTTGACAAGATTCCAGTTCGGAGTAGGTGGACCCCTCCCCCGCGTGGAGGTGCTTCCCCAATTTGGATATTCAGATCAAGAATTTTGGGACCTCGTTCCGAAATTTGGCGACGCATATCCAAGATTTCAGAACGGGAACCTGTAGCGAAGTTAAGACTGAGGGAGGAGCATTGAGAGCGAGATGCAACCTCGTTGATGAATCTATACCAGGACTTACAGACCAGCGCGAGCGGCTTGAGGCCGTCTACGGGAAGTTTGCGCTTCGCCGGGATCGAGTCTTCGCTGTCGTCATGCACAGCGAACGCCACGATGGACGAGAAGAGTGCTGGGGGAATACACTCCATCGGTCTCGTTTTGCACTTCACCTTACAAAGCTCATGATTAATTTGTGAACTTAAACGGGAGATGAAAAACAAGTGGCACAAAAAATACAACAGACACAAAACATAAAGCGAAGAAAAACAATAAAAAAAAATTACTCGCAACTTACGACTCGAAGTCGTCGTTGCTGTCACCTACATCTCAAAGTCGCTATCGTCCTCAAGGTACTCGGAGTCAATGTCGCTCTCGCCTTCTCCATCGTAAAAGTCACCGTCAAGGTATTCGTCGTCGTAACCATAAAAGTCGCTCGCATTTTCGTCAAAGCTTCTGTCGTCTGGCGGTAACAAGTCTTCGCGCTCCACTATCGTTACGCCCTCATTCTCCCCCTCTTGTTCCCAGTCTTCCCAGCCGCAGTAAATTGAAGGCTCCATGTGAACAGTGTACAGTCCAAATTCGGCTATTCTCGAGAAACTTTTCCCGCTGCGGTCCATTGTAACAACATGTTGACGCAGGGATGGATGGGCATCTTTCACGCGGCTCATAAGCTCCTCCAATTCACTCAGGTACGTCTTGCTCCAGATGGGATCAACCGAGTTGCGAGAGTTATAGCTCCAATTCTCAATACGTAACGCAAATTTCTGCTGAGCGCACGGCAGATCCGAGGTATCTGCGAGCTGAGACAGCAACTCCTTAACCAACTCGTAAAATTCTAACATCGAGTCCTCCGGGCATCCCCCAACCGAAATTTCAAAACTTCGATTACCAGTAAACTCACTCGATTGGGCATTCAGAAAGTCGAGAATGCCTATACCCGTACAGTTGACGCTGCGAAGTTGGAGAAATCGCAGATATTTAAGCTGAGTAAGCGCCATCAGTCCTCGATCCGTGAAGGTCGAAATTGGTTTCAGTTCTTTTCGATTGAAATATTCGCCCACCTCCTGAATCACAAACTGAGTGAGGAATGGACACTGGGAGGCCAAAGTTTCGCAAAAATGGTCATCGAATATGTCTTGATTGACCATTTCCACTACCGGGAATTCATTGACATCGCCCATATCCGGAGGAATATACATTCCTCGACCAACGGCATGGTACAGTTTGACAACCAACTCATCCAGCATGGGACATCCTTTGAGGGCAGCAGCAGGGTCAGTAGCATGGAGTCCGTAGCCTTGACGGTCGCAATAGTTATCGTCTTCCCATTCTTCATCTGGGGGCATATCTGCAGCTTTACTGCAGCCATGAAAGTAGAGTCGCCAACTCCATCGCATGTTCACTCCAAAAGTTAATTTTTTCATCTGCGGCTTAACGTGCTCGCCGAAAACGCGAAAGAATGGGTCGCCAAACGGAGCAACCACCCAGTCAAATTCGCGCAACTTTGTGCACGTCACATTGAGTTTTTCCCAGTCTTCTAACGTCAGCAGCCACGCATCATTGCATGTCAGGCCATCTGTCTTCGATAAAGACGCCTTGTAGCCGTCCAGATACTCCACATTTGGACAATTCTTCACCACCTTATCAAAAAACTCTCTACTAGTCTTAAATTTCTCCCTGTAGGTTCTAAGGGGAACCTTTAAGTGCCTCAGTCCTCCATTATTTCCATGCACTCTCCATCTCTTCATCGCCGTGTACAGCTTCTTCAGAACCGCTTGAATGCTTTCGTCGCCTCCTCCAAACTGTTGGGCTGGAAGTACCAAAGTCTCCAAATTGAAACAGTGAATAGCAGCAGCATCCAGTGCACCAATAACATGGCGACTATTGATATACATTGCCTCAAGGTTCAATGTCTTGAGTGTTGGCAAGTTGGCGAAGATTCTGGGCCAGTCGATGTCGACGTTCTCCACAGTATCCCACAAGCCAAATGGCATGTTAAAATAGTGAGACCAGCGGTCAATTGTGCCCATTGACACGATTAATTCCGCGATCTGTGACCCTCTGTCAGTCGCATTTTGGTACATGTGTTGCAGTTCCACTGGTGTCCAGTATGGCTTGAATCGAAGGATTAACGTCGTATCCTGATACTGGTGGACTATTTCGCCCATTAGAGCAGCCCACGCCTTGGACACCAGCTTCAGACTCTTGAGTACCGATGTGACCCGCCTGTTGCGCCACTCTGGGGGTTCGTAATTCGCATATCCGGGCACGGCAAACGCGATAATGTTCTGTACAATCGGAAACGGAAGATGCACCAGCTCCATTTGCAATTTGCAAAGTGAGTTTGGTGCACATAATGTTTGTCTTTATATGGCTCAGATTTTGTGTTTTTCACAAAAAAATGAGTTCATTTTTTTTTTAAACAGTACAATCACGAGTTACACTACATAGATGTTCATCTTACAATTCACTACAGCACCAAATCAACATCGGATATGTCGTCATCACTATCTTCATCGAACTCGCTGTCGCTGGCATCGACATTTTCGCGAACTGGTGTGTCTGTATCGTCATCAGGATAAATTCTACCACCACGGTTCACGAACACGACGTCGCGATTACTTTCCTCGTCGTCCCAGCCAAACCAGTAACTCGGCTCAGCGTGTGCGGCATACAAGCCCAGTTCGAGAATACTCTTGAAACTCTTCCGATTGTACGCATGCATAGTAACGCGTATGTGAAGAGACAGGTGTGCTTCCTTGACGCGAGCCACTAGCTTCTTGAGGCTATCAAGGTAAGTCGCACTCCATTCTTTCTCTACTGGGTTGGTGATCGCGTTCTTCAAACGTAACACAATCCTCTGCTGCGAAAAGTGCAGCTCATTTGCAGGTGTGGACGCGATTCGAGTAAGTAAACTCATGACTGCATCATAGAAGTCCATGTCGGTTCGCTCGAACTCCGGCATAATGGATTTCCCACCCACACAAATCTGAAACGTGCGTTGTCCAGAAAATTCATCGGAAAATCCATTTAAAAAATCAAAAAGACCATTGCCCGTGCAGTTAATTGGCCGCAATTCCATGAAATCCAGATATTTCAGCTGTGACAATGCTACTAGCCCACGGTCCGTAAATGAGTGAATGTGTGCGAGCTCCAGTCCTTCGACAACCTCCCACAACGCGATGCGATTAATGAGTGGGCAGTTGGCAACCAGTGTCTCCCAAAAGTGATCGTTAAAACTGCTCTTCTCAATAACTTCTTCGTCAGGAAAGTATTCCGGGTCTCGAACGCTTGGTTCGTCTTCGTCGTCGTCGTCAAGAGGGTGATAGAGAGCGATTTCCAGCTCCTCCAAGCCAGGGCAACCCAAGAGAGCCGTGCTGGGATCTCTCGCATACCATCCATAGCCCTCCCGGCTAACATGGACAATATTAGTCCTAGCCATTGTACCAGCTTCCTTATCCAGCTCGT